ATGGAGAGAGCAAACACATGCTAAGATTATGTGCTTTGAGAAACACTATTAAGTGTCTCTAGACTCAAAAAATATAACCTAGTTCTTATAATCTGCCTAAAATTATTCACATTCCTCACTCTTGAAATAAGTCATCATAAGTTCTGATTAATATGCACATACATTTTTTGTTAATGGATAGATTTAAAAAATTTGTGACCTCAATTTTACATAAAGTTAGCTCTTTCTCTATACTCAAGCAATGAAAGATCAGGCTCAGTATAAGACTTTTGCGATTATTTTAAAAGATCTTTGAAAATAACTGCATTGAAGTGAATGTAGCCTACTAATATGAAATGGTACACAAAATCAAAATCAAGAAAAAACTTATATAAGTCCGCAAATACTTACATGTTTTTACTGCAGGCACATAATACATATTACTTAATTTAGTCCCACTGATGATAGAAATTAAAAAATTGTATTCTGTGCCTGGGATTAAATTGCCAACAGTTATTTTATTGCCATGTTTCAAAGGCTTAGTAACATTTGGCCCTCCTTCAATTACAATATGTATGCCATCAAACACTCCAAGATCAGGCATTTGAACAGATAAAATTACAGAGGTACTATGACTTTCATATGGGATGACAATTTGGACTGGTTTGGGCTCTGAAAAACAAAAAGAGAGATTTATAATTAGTGGTTTTTTTTAAATTTCAAATACATTTCTCTCTATTTTGTCTGGCATATTCTAGAATATGCAAAAATACTAAATGCCTGTGCAAAGTTATGTTTACTATGTCATTATTAAACAGAAAAACAAGGTGGACATTCTGAGAGAGTGTATGTACATATATATTGGAAGTACCCGATTAACTTTTGATTTTGATTCTCAATAATAGTCTCCAAAACCTAAGAATCTGAGATTTTCTGATTTTTTTTACCTTTTTATCTATTTATTAAGCCAATGATTTTGAAAACCTAAATACTAGGAGGAATGCTTAAATAAAGTAAATAAGCCCAGATTCCTGCGTTTCAGAGTTCCCAATCTCAAGAAAGAGATACACAAATCACTTACTAGAATCCCAAATGGATAGAGCTGAGCTGATAACATGAACAAAAAGCTATTGAGAAGAGAGGAAGAAAACAAATCTAGCAGAGATCATTGGAGAAGGCTTCCAGAGTCTAAGATATTTTATCTGAATCTTAAAGGGTAGTACAAGTTTACCAGAGAGAGCATGTGGTGGGCAGAGGTGGTAAGGAGGGAATTCCAGACAAAGAGAAAACCATGGAAACCAAAAAGGACATCATCATCATCATCATCATCATCATCATCATCATCATCGTGTATTCAGGGAATACCAAGTTCTTTCTGCTGTTTACCAGCAGGGCAAATTACTAATCGCTAGTCTTTGACAATTAGTTACTAATCTTTGGCAAGTTACTAAATCACTCTGTGCCTTGGTTTCCTAATCCCTAAAATGGGAAGGAGACTAGTATCTACTTTGCAAGGTCACTGTGATGATTCAATGTGAGACTGTATTTATATACAAAGAGCTTAGTTCCCAGCACATGCCAGGCTCTCAGGGTGGTTAAAGCCTGGGGTATGTGAGGAACAGGGATCAGGCATGGAAGGCCACCGCTGAGGCTGGATGTTGTCTGCGAGGGGCTTTGCATGCCATGCTAAGGAGGTCAGACTTTATCCTGTAGGCACAGGGATTTTGAACAGACATTTCATTTTTAGGAGCACAGTCCTGGCAACAGTTTAGAGGAAGGATTCGCTTACATTTCACACTCTTGCTGACCTCTACGTAAGAGCTTTCTTGTACTGTAATCCTCTACTGTATCATTTAGAGCAGATTTGAAATTTTAGATTGTTTCTATTCACATTATTTTTTCCCTTGGGTCAATTTTAATTTCAACTCTATTTGTGGATTATTGAAATACTATCCAGTATATCCTTAGATCTGTCTTTCTTCTAAGTAGATATCTTCTTCTAAGATATACATTCTGAGGAAATATTCTTTCTTCCAGAGAATAATTGGACAGACTTTGCTTTTCAGTTTTCTTTTTAACATCTGGTTTGATGCAATGGAACTTGTTCTAAGTCAATGATACTGTATTTGATAATGTGATTATGCCAGTTTACCCAGAGCCAGTACTGTGTAAAAGGATTTAAACACATACCTATAATTAGCATTCTAGAACACAAAATCTGTGCAATATCTCCATCAATTCATTCATTTGTGACATATAACTTTCTTGCCTTTTTCAGTCTGGGTAGTTATGAGGAAATGTTCAATACATTAACCATAACAGATACCATATGGTATATTACTGGGTTTCAAAGCACTTTTTCCATGTTTTTCTTTTTCCAGTTATATTAACTTCCCTTTTTCTGTCATCACTAATGTTTTTTGTGGGTTTCTTCTTTAAATTCCTTACAGCTCTCTTCAGTTACAAAGCTCTTACATTAAATATGGTTTTTCCAAGGCTAGGATGACATCCCACAAGTATCCAATCCATTTAAATGTGTAGGCAATAATCTGGAAGTTTCTAAATCTGCCTTGAGCAGAAATTAAATATCTGGAGATTGGAAATAAGTGGCCAATATAGTCATGGAAACAGTTCACTTCCGTGTTCCTTGGTGCTGAAGATATTTTCTAAGGAGAGACAATGCTTTAAATAGGCATTATCTAATTTAGTTTCTAAAAGCGTATAGAGTCTGTGACATTCTCTATAGTGCGTAAATGTGGGTTTTTAAATCAGTTCCACTTGTTCAGGGAAATGGGACCAATGGCATCAATAAATGACATATTAAGGCAGATGGACACCAAGGCTGGAAAAGTGTACAACAGGACAAAGTTCTTTCTTCTCTTCAAAACTGTACCCTAAACCTCTGGAAACTCAAATGAGAGAAAGCATCACCTATAAATAAATAAATAAATAAATAAATAAATAAATAAATAAATAAATAAATAGTATTGCCATATTCTGGAAACTTCTAGGTGTCTCCACTTTTGTGACTGTGACCTTTATCCTTACCCATTTTCCTGAAAAAGATTTTTCAAAAGAAGTGATAGCATTGGGGGCTGTACGAGGTTTTTCCAGTATAAGATAAATGGAACAAGGCTAAATTCAAAGGCTTTTATTATAGACAAGAATGAATGAGGTCTCAGAAATTTCCAGTCTATCTTAAAATTTATTCTTCTATACTGAGAGGGAATAAAGGAGACTCAAACACCAGCTCTCCTTCCCTCAAGAAAAGGAGTACAGTTAATTCCTCCAACAATGAGAGACTACATAGACAAATGACTTTAATGTGGTTGAAACACTAGGGATGCTCTTCACTCCACAAAGCCACCAGTCCAGTCCTATGGAGAAATAAAAATCATCACAACAATAAACGTTCTCATAGTGCTTGCTTGGTGTCTGAGCCCTTAAATTTTATTAATTTCATACAGTAGATAAGATTATTATTATTCCCATTTTAGAGAGAAGGAAGCTGAGGGTCATTAAATGTTGAGGGACTTCCCAGTGGATATAAGCTGATAATTGTGGAGTTGGAATTCCAACCGAGGCAATCCAGTTCCAAGGTCTGTGCTCCTAAGCACTGCCTTCTCCCAAAGGTCACATGTTACGGTTCAGGTGCATCACAATAACTGGAAATCAAGTTTTGCTAGTTATTTTCAGGATAATTTAGAGACATGGACAAATATGTCTCAAAAGGAAAAGGAAAGTCAAGGAACATGTAAGTTTTATTTTCTTCTACATGTCTACAAAAGGTCCTTAAAAGGTAAATGTCCCTCTATGCTTAACTGTCTCAAAGTGTATGGAAGAAAGAGAAATGGGACATGGTAAATAATAATTATCAACAAACGTTTGTTGAATGAATTCATACAGAGAATTAATTTCTATTTATGCACCTTGGGATAGGTTAATATTTATCATCTGAGACAAAAAAAAAGATGAATGATAAATAATCTGATGATGCCAGTTGTGCTTACCAAGGTTAAGAACTGAATAGAAAAGCCAACAGAATTATAAGAAATAGTAATATGCTTGAAGAAACTAAAGATAATTCACCAGAAAGGAAGAAACTGTAGAAACCATGAACACCTAATGGCTATTTCCAAACAACTGATGTCCTTTCATGTGAATCAGGGAGTAGATTTGCTCTGTCTGTGATACTTCTGGAAAACAGACATGGCCCTATAATAGAGGAAAATTACAGGTGTGCATTACAAAATAATGAGAGGCTCTATGCTAGGAATTGCATCAGGTGAGGCACTGGCAAGATCTCTGTCCTAACTTAAAACCCCCAAATTCTATCATTTTTCCTAGGATTTATATATGTTAATCATGTTTCAGCTTCCATGCTGGAGAGCAGTTTACAAATGTGTTTGAGTTAAACAGAGTCAAGAACTGTGCTTATATCTGGAGATACAAGGCTGAGTAAGATTTCAAAGAAGCTCACTTTCTAGAAAGGGAGACAAAATTTTTATATTTTAGATGGCAGAGATGTTGAAATCTGGGGAGTTCCTTGGACTCAAAGGAAAAATAGGACTTTCGAGCTGGAAGTCAATTTAAAAATATATTCAATGATCTAAATTTTTAGAGAGAAAACTTAGGCACCAAGACACTGTGGGGACACTCTAACTTCATACTGCTAATCATTGGTTACAGTTCATTTCCCATCTATGAATTTTAATTTTAGTACTTCCATTCTGCCAATAAAAATTTTTGGGTTGTTTGATGGTCATGAAATAATTCTTTTTAGTAGTATCTTTTTTTCGGGTGTTTTCTTTTTTCCTAACTTCCTATGATAATTATCTTCAGGCACATTTTCTCAGAAGTTTAAGTATGAAAGTGCTATACACAAATTTAGTTTTAGTATTTTTTTTTATTATGTTCAGTTAGCCAGCATATAGTACATCATTAGTTTTTGATGTAGCATTCAGTGATTCATTAGTTTTACTCTTTGGAGGACAAAATGAGAAGATTCAATGTTGGTTGAGTGTGGACACTACTGGTACATAGTTTTTTGGACCAAGGCATTTTTTCCTTCAGGCTGCCCTACTGTTAGCCAAAAAGGCCTGTGAGGTCCAATGTTCTTTCCTTCCTCAGAGTTACCTCTTTCTACCCAAATTAGATAGAAGTCAAAACCCTCTTCCTTTATTCCTCACATGCACTCCATCACCAAAGCTCAGACGTCCTACTTTCATACTATAAAATACATCTACTACTTTCCATCTGCATTTTCCCATCCTTGTCCACCATAATCTTTTGCCTAAATTCCATGACACTCTTACCCAGTTGTCCTACTTCCATCCCTGGCCCTTTACAAATCATTCTTTGCACATAGTCAGGGGGAAATTTTTGTAACATAGACCACACCATCCCTCTCCTGCATAAAACCCTCAATGGATTCCCACTGCCCTCAAAACAAACTCAAAAGCACAGCATACAAGCTCTATGTGATCTAACCCCTGAATACCTCTCCAATATCATTTCATATTCCCCTTCTCCTTCTTCATTAGACACATGTTCCAGCCTTTTTGGTCTCAGATCCCTGTTTTATAGCCTTTGTGCCTTTATGCTAATTGTTCATGCCTAATGTACCCTTCCTCCACCTGATTGTACTGTGGCTCCTTCTCATCCATTAGGACCTTCAAATGCAACTCCCATTACAGTCTATCTACACTAGAACCACCCACCCCTCTTCCGTTACTCTCTATCACACCACGTTGCTTTTTTCCATCCTAATGTTTAGCACAATTTATAAATAGCCATAAATATTATTATTTACTTTTCATTTTTTTCTTTCTCCCTCCTTAATGGATTGTCAATGATTACCTATTGGGTGAATTAAACTTATTTGAGAAAAAACATAGAGATTTGTTGTTGGTTTGGTCCTAAACCTTTTAAATACTGTCAATATTTTATTTCAGTGTGCTACAATAGCTTGTCTTTGTTTTGATCAATAATAATTACAAACATTCATATAGTGATTGTGTCAGGCACTGTTCTGAGTCCCTACCTTTATTAAATCAGCTATTTTCCAGAAAATCCATAAAATATATACTATTATTTTCTCACACTTTACAAATGGGTAAATTGAGGCATAAATAGTTTGAGTACATTGTCCAGGGCCACTCAATTAGTTGGGCCCAGATTCAAACCTAGGTGGTATGGCTTTAGGGTCAAGTTTCTAATCATAAACAATGCTGCCTTTATTCATGCATTAAGCATTCTCAGGAGAAGAGGAATGCAAACCGCTCCAGGTCCTGGGCTACCATTCGATAAGCACACCAACAATCTACCTAAAAAGGCAAAACCTACTACCAGAGGGGTGTGTCAGGGAATATTTCACAATATCCCCAAATCAGCAGATATCTGTTATGAATGAAAAATATTTGATTCTCACTTAGAGTTTGTTGAATAGTTACCAGCTCACTCAAGTTCCCATTCATCACTGTTGCCATTCCAATGTCATATGTCATCCCAGGGGTTAAATTATCAATCTTGAATCTATTAGCATCCCTTACAAAAAGCTTCATGACTTCTCTTGTATCTGATGAGGGTTTGATCTGAATGTAGACCTCATGGCCATCTGGTGGGGATTCCCACTGAAGAATTATACTGTCCTCTCCGACATCTTCAGGTTTTGCGTGAACCTTCTGAGGAGGACTAATACCTTCAAGAAACGGATAAATAGGTAACACTTACCTTAGTTTATTGTTAGCATTACTCTTGCTCTGGAGTAAAAATGTCTTAGTCCAATATTAGTTCATGTTTAAAGTAAATTTAGCAAATCCCTACAGCACCATGCCTTGAAATGGACTTAATTTTAGAGAAAAGTATGTCTTGTTATTACTATGCAAGATTTGTCAATAAGATTAAGCACATTACACATCAAGGAAAACTAGAGTGTTTGGCAGATTCTTTAGATTTTTAAGAGTTCCATCAGAATACTGTTCCCATTGCCAAGATTATTCATTTTTTCATCAAAGGTGCATGGGAACCTACTATGTACCAGGTAGTCACCTAGGCATGTAGAGTGCTTCAACAGGAAATAACAAAGGTCACTGCCTTCTGCAGTTTATATTGTAATAGGTGGAAATACACAATAAATGATCATATAATAAATGTGTATATTATATATTACTTTAGATATGAGAAGGTTAAGGAAAAAAAGAAAAAGTAAGCTAAGGTTAGGGAGGCCAGGAACAAAGTGGCTGTAGGGAGGAAGTTGTGGTATTAAATAGGGAATTCACTTCCTATCAACATAATAGAACACCACATTTTAAGTTCTCAGGAAAATATCACTCTGGGTCAGACCCATAATCTGTTCATCCTATACAACTTCACACAATTGTACCTGGTCTGACTTTAGGCATTGACATTAATTATGTATGTAAAACTATCAGAGAATGCTAGAATAATCCAATTAGACAAACTGCCCACAAGATTCCAGGGTGAAACAACTTCAGATCTTTGTTTTTGTATAACTGCTAAACTTACAAACACTTCAGTGGAGGACTTAGATGAAATCTACTGAATGCCACACATAAGCAGAAATTGAGGAAAAGATGAGATTTGGTAAGTCTGTGATAGCCCTATTATTACTCACAGAAATTTCTGTACATGCATGTGTATTTTTATGGCAGAGGGTCCATTAATTTTTCCACATTCTCAAAAGACTTCATGACCCCCCCAAAAGTTAAATTTTACTGAATAAAATATACTCCTTAATATATATGAAGGCTTTTCATGTTCTGTGCCTAGCTTACATTTTCTAGATTCTCTACATGCTCCCGTACTCCAGCCTTGCCAAATTACTTGCAATTTGCTAATGTTCAAATGTCAGTCCCTAGATACCTCTTCTTTGGTCCCCCCTGCCTGTGCACTTGCTGTTTGCCCTACTTACAGCATCCTCTTGCCTCCCCGCTGCCCCCTGGCTAACTCCTACTCTTCCTCATGAAGCAGTGCATGACTCCACCAGAAGACTTCTGGGTTAATTGATCCCTCTCTATGCTCCCATAGTCCCCAGAGCAGAACCCCTATAATTGCAACTATAATGCAGCATTATCACTGTTTTTTAACTTACTTGTCTCACTCTATTTGCACATAAGCCCTTTAAAGTCAGAGGCTACGTTTTATTCATCTTTGCGTCTCTAGTATCTATTACGGCTCCTGATACTAGAAAAATAATTTATTGAGTGAATAATGAATGAAAAAAGGATATTGCCTTAACCTTAAGAGAGTAAAAGAGCACTGGATTACTAATTCCTACATGTGCACTGCTGTGTCAGCTTACAGTTAATATGCAGAGCAAATGACCCAAAAATTAAAAGTGCAGACACACATGTACCTTCATCCTGTCCCTTTAGTAAGTAGGTACATGCCATGGAAGATTTTAATTTGACTTCAAAATGAACAAATCTGTGATAAATCCTCCTAGTCTCCCTGTCAGTTAAAAATGGAAGCATCTCACAGAGAAAAGATCTATGGTTACCTGAGAGGATTTGTGTTGGAGAGTGGGCAAAAGGGGTGAAGGGGGTCAAGGGTAGCATGATGGATGGTAAATAGAATTTTGAGTGATCACTTTGTAGTGTATACAGATGTTGAATGATAATGTGCACATGAAACATATATAATTTAAAAAAAGAAAGCATCTTCATAAGTGTAAAATAGTCAACCAAAAATTTATACATTGAAGGGTGATTTGTCTGCGCTCGAGGAAGAGAAAACATGGCTATCTACTATCCATTTAGAAAAATACTTTTGCTTAGGATTTACAACACTTAATACATGTATGTTAAGCATTGGCATTTAGTTCTCATTAAATAGTATCTTTTGTTCTTCTTATTTTCAAAGTATCCCAAGTATTCCCAGTGAGTAAGAGAACGCTAATTAATCTATGGCTGTGCACATTTTTCATTTCTCCTACCTCAGCTCTAGAGTGTTTAAATTTCAGTTGGTATGATTTGATTGGGATTTCAGTCAAAGAACTTTGCACGTAGGCATGTTAAATACAATGCACCAACAATACACATATTATACACAGAGGAATATACTCCAAAACATGTTTAGCTATGCATTGTTTCATACAATACTCTTTTATCTTTTCAAAAAACATTGACTTATACTTAAGGGGGTAAATATATAGCTTAATTAAAATATAGATTACTTTAATGATTATGTTCTAGACAAGAATTCAAAATTGGCATGTGGAGGTGAATGATTAGAAATGCAATTGCCCAAAGTCCTGGGATGATACTGTCCCCTAGAGGTCAACTCATCACACTGTGTAAGAAAATGAATTTGAGTAAAACTGAGTGAATATGCAGACCAATTTGTTGGATCTAGTGTTGTTAAAAAGAACTGGATGAACTAATCTTCATGTTTCATGATAACTTATTTCCCAGCCAAGGCTATTATAAGAAAGATGTCTTCTAGGAACTCTGGTAGGAACAACGCAGATGTTTAAAGAGTTCATGCAAATCTAAACGAATTTAGTATAGAATCTATGCTAAATTTTGATTCAACACTCAAACAAATGTTTAGCTGTTGAGTATTCATACCAATGACGGGTCAACATAATTAATTTTCAGCAAATAAATTTCAAAATATGAAGCTTACATTTTTTATTAAAAAGCAAAATTGTGCCTGTGCTTACCTGTAATGGCTGAAATAGGTCTCTCAAAGCAGCTTAAAGTTCCTCTTTCTGCTACACTGAATAGATATACCAGATAATGACGGAAAGATTTCAGATCTCCGATTTTCACTGATGTGTTGAGTTTTTCAACAAGCACCTCTTGTGATTTATTGTTTTCCACATCCAAAATAGTCACAAGGTAATGGTGAAAAGATATAAGATCTGGAGGATTCCAGTGTAAAAATATTTCTGTTGGTGTCACATGAGTAACTGTGACATTTTGAGCTGATAATGGGCCTAGGAGATTTTAAAAAATCAGAAAAATACATTATATTAGTGATATGGTCTGGCAGAGTACTCTCTCACCTCTCAGTACTTCCATAATAGTCTAGTTTGGAGAGAAAAGGAAAACTGGATTTGAGTCCTGGCTTTTCCACTGTTTGTCTCTACTCCCTGAGTAAATTATTTACGCTCCCTGAGCCTCCATTGTTTTGACTGTAAAGTGGGAATTATAGTAGTAGCTATCTTGGAGAATTATTAAGAAGATTAAATGAGATAAGGAATGGAGAACATTCAGCAAAATGTTTGACCCACGTTATTGGTTCAATCATTATTTTTATAACAAAACCACCAAAAATGGCACTTCTGGCATTCCGTGATCACATCTTCCATGGCTTTTACCTTTTGTGTCTTGTCAGACTAGAGAGCAGGGACTTCCTATTCCTTACTCTTCATTCCTGTCATCACTAGACCTCGGGCATTCATCCTCTTGCAGAAATCTTTCCCCATTCCAAACCATTTCATTCCAATCCCAGTCAGTGGTTTTCCTAATTCATCCTTCCAGATTAATTTTCTTTAAAAAGCACTTTGCACATATCAGTCCTTATCCTTCCAACACGCACACACACACACACACAGTACACACATTCCTCTTCTTTCTTTAGAAGCAATAGCTCAAGAGTTAAAATGAGATCATATGGGTTCCTGTGTGGCTTAACAAAGCGTGTTGCTCTAGTCAGTTTAATTAACCTTTCTGAAGTTCAGTTTTTTCATTTCTATATAGCTACTCCCAGGGTTGAGGTACGACCTTTGTGAGATTATGCATTAAAAGCGTTTTGTAAAAGATAAAGCGAGTCTTAGAAACTGCAGTCTTAATGGATTTCCAATGCTTCTAAGGTCAAGTCCAACCATCTGAGACTCATGTCCCTGGCACTCACAAATCTGGTACCACTTCACCACTCCAACTGATTTTACCGTCATGCCTGAGGAAATTTTTTCCAGTTAACCTACACTATTCTTTTTCCACAAGCTCCTGTCTCCACACTTTTGCTCACAACATGCTTTTCTTCCTTCAAATTTGAATCTAAACCTCTCCTTTCCATGAATCTTCCCATCACCCATCTTCTGAATTCTAGAAAGCATTTATTAAATGTACCACTGAGTGAGAATTTAGACTCTTATATTTTCCTACACTTTGCTATCTCTTGTTTGCTTTTACTTTTACTCCTTACTAATTCTCTTCATTGTAAGCCTCCCCAAATTCACAATGCATGTCTGTTTATCTCCTGTTCTTAGCACATATCAAAACTTAAGTTCCACAAAAATGTATTGATTTTCCACTGTGGGCAACAGTCTAGTTGGTGTTGTAAAGACAAATAAGATATAGTTCCTGCCCTCATGGGTTTATAGTTTAACAGGAAAGCCAAAGACATAAACAGATCCATCATAAAAAATGGTTAAAGATCTAGGTATGCCAAGAGTGTTATGAGAAAATACCAGACCCTCAGGAAATATCTGCTAATTATGATATTCAATAATTGAAAAATCATACTTTCAGAGGTTTTGTAACTTACGTGTTTCAACAAAGAATACTGAACTTAACATAGTTTTTGCCTCCCATTCGTTTATTGCAAAGAGTAAGAATCTGTAAATATGGCCAGGAAACAATTGGGTAATTGTTTTTTCTGTAGTATTTGGGGATATGCTTTCAAAATACTGTTCTTCTGTATAATCTAAATAATACTTAATGATAATTTTGTATCCCAGTTTTAGCCACTTATTCAAATTATTCCAAGCATTCAAATTATGCCAACCAAATACAACTTCAGTTGTTCCAACATCCTTTATATAGATCAAAAGGTTTTCCTGCAGAGAAAGTGCTGAAAAAAATATAGAGGAGGATTATTGTAATTAGAAATCATAATTCTATCTTTAAAATAATAAAAGTGAGATACATGGTGTAAGAATATTAATAAAAATAATTACATTCATATTTGCAAATATATGGCAATGGAACAGAGCAGAAAAATCTTGAAAAGAAATAGTTTGATCCAGTTGCATTTTGCTGTAAAATGTAGCAATCTGTTTCATTCTTGGGTAGCAGTGGAAAAGAAAAGATTTCATTTTTCTTAAGGCCAAAAGATGATCCATCTGTCCATGTGAGATGACCTTCTCTCTGAAATAAGATGTAAAAATTAAGCCAATTTGAAGGAGAAGTGTCACATCCTCAAATATATGTATGCTTCATGAGTTATTCTGAGATACAGAGTTCACTTTTATTCCCCCATTAGCCATATGTCTTCAAGAAAATTGCTGAATCTCACATTAAGCTTTTATTTTCTCATGCATAAAATGGATATAATAATAGAACCTACATTCTAAATTAATTAAAGAGGCAGTGCATGTAAAGGCTCAACACAATGCCAAGTACAGACCCACTATTCATTACAGATTAGTTATTTCAAGTCACCAAATAAGTCATATGCATATGCATCAGGGGAGGTTGTTGATACCTTCCTACTAAGGGATGTCACTGGTGAATATCACCAACCTCAATATAATAAGATATACTTAAACAATCCATTCCAATTCCACCTAACAGAATGGAGGAATACTGTTTCCTCGAAAAATCTGCTTGATTGCATATAAGGCACTGCAGCTTTGAAAACAGATAGAGGCTCGAGGCAGCACGCGTAAGTGGTTAGGGCAAAAAGCACTGGTCAGACAGACACAGATTCAAAGCCTGGCAGGGCCATCTGTTAGCAGTGTGACCAGGAATTTTCTGAGCTCCATTTTCCTTATCTATAAATGAGAAAAATGATAGTGCCTCCCTATAAAGTTGTTGTGAGATCTAAATGAGAGTTATCTATATAAACTTTCCAGACTGGAACACAGAACTATTAATCTTTCATTCACTATGTTCCTGCTGAGTGCCAGGCCCTAGCTAGAAGCTGGGGATGCAATGATGAATAAGACACAGTCTCTATCCTCAAAGTCCAGTAACAAACTCACACTTACTCAGCATGAGTGAATGGGGTGATTGTTTTCTCAACCTGTCACAGGGATTATAACCCAGGAGGTGACTTTGATGTTAACCTCAAGAGACCAGCTTCACATAGAAGTTATAGAATATAATGGTTAAGAGCAGACTCTGAGGCGTGTCATATGGGAAGGTTAACTTCCCTGTGCTCCTATTTCCTCATATGTCACACAAGTAAAGCACATAGCACGGTGCTTAGCCCTTAGGAGACACTATAGGACTCAGCTACTAAAGGAAGTTTCTCTTAATAGTTATTTTGACATTTCATTTACCTCCTAAATTATTTTTAAGTATCATAAAAGCAGAGACTGTATCTTAGACCCCTTTGAATAATTCACAGCAACCATCATGACGCCTTGGGAATCCTCACTCTGGGTGTCATGACCATATGACCTGACCCTTATAGCAGAAACCAGTAACCAGACCTACTAGAAGACAGTTTATAACAATCACGCTAACAGCAGGAAACAACCGCCTACACACCACCTGGTCTACCTGAAAAGAGACTGGCATGCTGGGGGGCAGGCTTGTGAGATGTCTGAGGTCAATGTGGTTCGAGGAACCTTTATTAGAACCTCATTCCCTGCCCGTGAAAAGCTAAAGGAAGCTCAAAAAGAGAATGATGAAAATGCAGTTAGAGACTGTCGGGAAGGGGCGCCTGGGTGGCTCAGTCAGTTAAGTGTCCGACTCCCGGTTCCAACTCAGGTAGTGATCTCAGGGTTGTGAGATCGTGAGATCGAGCCTCGAGCTGGGCTTCGCACTCAGTGCAGAGTCTGCTTAAGACTCTCTTCCTCTGCCCCTCCCCCGCCCATCTCTCTCAAATAAATAAAAAAAAAAAAACTTAAAAAAAAGGAGAAAAGAACTGTCAATAGCCTACCCCAAGCTGATACAAAGTTCCACAGAAAAAATGGTATCCAACTGATTGGCCTCGGGTCACTACAGGTCAGGCTATCCCATAGATAACAGATTTATTTTTGAGTGGCAGGAAATTTTTAAGAAACGGATCATCAAGAAGAAAATACAGACTAGGCAGAGATAACTGTGCTAGGTCTTGGGTTTTCCTACAAAAAGCTGACCAAAATGAAATTTCATGAGATTATTTCATAAGTGATAGGAATGCTGGAGAAAATGTCACACATTCCTTATTTCACTGGTATTGAATATAAAATCTTCAGATCTTTCTATAACTCTTTTAGTAAAATTAACTTTCATAAACCTGGATATTTGAAATAAAAGAAATAAAATGAACAAAATTTCTATATTCCATATTTTCAGGTTCATGTTACTATGTTGTTCACAGAGGTGAGAAATAGAGGAAGTGGAGCAGGTTGGTAGGAAGGAGAGGACAGTCTGGGCAATGCTGAAGTGTCTATGGAAAATTCCAAAAGAGATAATCAGAAGAAAATTGGATAGGGGCACCTGGATGGCTCAGTCGGTTAAGTGTCTGCCTTCAGCTCAGGTCATAATTCCAAGGTCCTGGGATCAAGCCCCTGCATCGGGCTCCCACTCAGCGAGGAGCCTGCTTCTCTCTCTCCCTCTGCCTGCCACTCCCCCTGCTTGTGTGCTCTGTGCTCTCTCTCTCTCTGTCAAATAAATAAAAAAAAAATCCTAAAAGAAAAGAAGAAAATTAGATGTCTGGAGCTCATAAGAAAAAGTGGGCTAGCTAAATACTTAAGAACAATTGGGCTGGGTGGTAAATAAGTGAAGAAATGGATGAGATCGCCTACCTTTAAGACAGGTCTGAGGAAGACCAAAATTAAAGCAAAATTACGGAAAGAAATAGATGCCTACAAAGAGATTGAAGGGCGTGGGAAGAGGTGAATAGGCAGAGAACAGAGGATTTTTAGGGTGATGAAAATATGCTGCATGATACCATAATAATGAATGTATATCGTTATACATTTGTCCAAACCCACAGAATGTACAGCACCAAGAATGAACCATAATGTAAACCATGAACTTTGGGTGATTATGATGTTGCCAATGTAGGTTTCTCAGTTGTAACAACTGTACCACTCTGGTGGGGAATACTGATAAGGGGGGAAGCTATTTATGTGTGGAGACAGGGGATATGTGGGAAATCTCTGGTACCTTCCCCTCAATTTTGTTATGAACCTAAACTGCTCTAAAGAGAGGTGGTGGGGCGGCAGGGAGGGAGGGAAAGATTGAGATAGAGAAACAGTGTCTGGGGACATCCGGGTGGCTCAGTCAGTTAGGCATCTGCCTTCGGCTCAGGTCACTATCCCAGGGTCCTGGGAGGGAGCCCCTCATCGGGCTCCTTGCTCAGCCTGGAGCCTGCTTCTCCCTCTGCCTGCTTTGCCTGCTCTCCCTGCTTATGCTCTCTCTTTCTCGCTCTCTCTCTCACAAATAAATTTAAAAAATATAAAAAAAAAGAAACAGTGTCTGGCTTTTAGGAAGTATTCGATAAATATTTAGTGCATGATGGAGGAAGGAAGGAAGAGGGGGCAGGGAGGAAAAAGGGAAGGAAAGGGAAAGGAAGAAGAGGGAGGGGGAGGAGCGGGAAGAGAGGAAGGGAGGGAGGAAGGAAACGAAAATAGTTTTGTCATGATATACGCATTTACTAACCTTCATATCATTAAGACCAGTCCATATTATCATTTGATCATTTGACCTGAGAAGTGAAAATATAAACTTTTTTTCCTCTTCATTTTTTATATCCACAAGGTGTGCAGAACTTAAGGATAACGTACAATGCCGCTGGGCTATGTTCCATGGCATATTCTCTTTGCTAATTTTATAACAGCTATTTCTTAATGCTATCCATCCTTGTGAACATGAACCTACCAAAAGAAAAATGTTTTGTGAAAGATGAATTCAGTAATATAACATTTCATTAGTACATTTCTTAACATCTATAGTAGTTAATCATAAAAACCTCATAGCATTAGTTGTACACTTTTCCTATGTTTCTCCCAAACCAGTAAAAGTGCTAAAGTTGCTATTATTCAAGTAGCAAATGAATTACTAACAATTAAAATAGTTTTTAAGTAGTTTCTAAGAATTAATTATGCAGAATTATTGTCCAATTATAACTTAATTAAAATAAAAACCACAGATTTTTTTTTCTTTCTAAGTCACTTTAGGTTGCCCTTCCTTTCCCTTACTCTTATGCTGGTGGAGAGTTTTTTTAAGAGTTTATTTTAGAGACTTTTCAGGTTTATTTTTATTTTAGAGAACTAGATATAACACTTGCTAAGAATTCTGCTCTCTGCCACTGCTACTTGACTTCACATGGGTTCACCTTCCAGAAAACACTTAGGCTTCTTCTCTAAGATTGCACACCATAGAAAGATTGAGGAAAATACCAGCCTGTTGAGAGTAGATATTGTACTTTAACTCTTGATATTATATCAGTGCTTCAATCCAACATATTAGGGAGATGTGAGAAGGATCTTTTGAAGAAACTGTTTTTTCACAGGGGGGAGAAGGCAGATGGGAAGAGGGGATGCTTTAATTACCTTACTATCTTTTTCTTACTACTGACAGGTTTCTCCACCTCACTTGTAAACATATACTATGGTTCAAAGTTTATTCCTATACAGGGTATTAAAATAGGACTCTTAGCCCACCACAGCGTGTTGCCCTGATTAGCTATGACTCTCTCCTCTTCTCTTAAATCCTTTCTCACCATGTGGAGGAAGCAAGTAGATCTAGGAAGCCACAAAAAAAAATTAGCATACATTCCCTTTTCCCTTGCAGTATTCCAAATTTTGATGAGGTCTGACTGGGGATGAATAATGAAGAAGCCTTAAATAGGATGAAAGATTGATATTTTTATATTGGATTTTAATGGACCTATTAATACCTGAGGATGAGACTGTTTATTGAAACTTTAAAGTCACCTAAAAAGCTATCAATAATTGCCAGAGTTAAAGAAAAGAGAACCCACTTGGTTCCATTTTTTAAAAAGTGCTGGAAGGAAACAAAGTTAATTCTTAAACTTGCTAAATCCAGATTGTTCAATAAATCAGTCAAATACCAGAATGACATAGTTAGAAAAAAGGGACTACGCTGGTTCATTTACAAGCAGTTTTCTGTGGCTAATACTTGGCTAAGCCACTTTTGAAAAGAACAATACATCTACCAAGTTATCTACAAGAGATATAATATATTAATAAAGAACCAGATATCTGCATACCTGTTTCTACTTGAACATCCAGTCTCTGAAATATATTTATAAAATCCAAATACAACTGTTTAAATTCAAATTTAAAAGCATATAAGGTTCCAGGTTTTAAATTATCCCACTCATAAACTGTAACATTATTTTGCATAATTTGTGAAGAATTATTGAGAGATATTGACACTGAAATGTCAGTGGAAGACAGCAAACTCCAGTTAAAAGAAACACTCGTGCTTGTTGCTACTGTTTTAATATTGCTAGTTGAGAAACCACCTAAAAAATCAAGAATAATTAGTCGGATTCAAATAAAACTGAATGAAACACAAAAGATGTTGAATTACAAAAGAATCACCACGATGGGAGGGCAAATCATCTACTATTAAATATTTTCTAGACTATATGGGAGTTTCTTGTCCTTTGCTTGAAATAAATGACTTAGATTATAAATCCGCATTATAATATTTTTAGATAATCTGGATGACATGTAACATCTCTGCCTTGCCTACCAATTCATATTAGTACACATCAAATGTCAAAAATGAAAATCTTCTTCCTGCCTTAGTTTATAATTTCCTTTAAATTTTGAAATTTACATTATGTTAAAAAAAAAAAACACGGTGCCTGGGTGGCTCAGTCGTTAAGCATCTGCCTTTGCAGCTCAGGTCATGATCCCAGGGTCCTGGGATGAGCCCTGCGTCGGGTTCCCTGCTCAGCGGGAAGCCTGCTTCTCCCTCTCCCACTCCCCCTGCTTGTGTTCCTTCTCTTGCTGTGTCTCTCTCTGTCAAATAAATAAAATCTTTAAAAAAAAAACAAACACTATCATCATGATGTGATTTTGGACTATCATAATCACTATAAAATTCAGATTATCTGGTAATAAAATTGTTTCCCTTTTACAATTAGGCAATATAGATGAATAACAAATACATATTACTTACGGGTTTTAAATGACTTTTCCCTTAAAATTTGTCCATATTTTATGGACTGTAGAATAATGTGATAGTCTTCATTTTCCTCTAGTATTATTGATTTTGAACGCTCTTGTGGGTTTGCAAGAATGCTTTTGATATTCTGTAAATAATTAGATTTATCTGCTTAAGGAATGTTTATTAACTCTGTGTCAGGTTATTCACCAAAAAGTTTGACTTTTGTATATTTCCTTCATAAGAAGGAGTTTTTCAAATAGAATGTAATATATATATAAAATATTTATTTTTACATAAAATGATATTATCTCAAATAATTACTCCGTATAGCATATAAATTACTAAAAATATAGTTATTCCTATGAAAAAGTGCAATGGTAATTTGATCAACTACTTAGTGAAGATATTTCATAAAATGCTAACATTTCATACACTAATGAATAAAAGTAAGAAATCCCAGTAACTGCATAGCAAAAGAAAAAATCAACAAAAGAAAAAGCCAACCTATGGAATGGGAGAAAATATTTGCAAGCCACCCATCTGATAGTGGGTTAATATCCAAAATATATAAGGAACTCCTACAACTCAATAACAAAAAGCAAACAAACAACAAATAATCCGATTAAAATGGACAAAGAACTGAAGAGACATTTTTCCAAAGAAGATAATCAAATGTCCAACAGGCATAGGAAAATGTACTCGATATCATTAGACATTAGAGAAATGCAAATTGAAGCTACAGTGTCAGAATGGCACCTGTCAGAGTGCCTATCATGAAGAAGAAGAGACAAGAAATGTTATGTAGGGATATGGAGAAAAGGGAACCTTTAGTGCACTACTGCCAAGAATATAAATTAGTGCAGTTATTATGGAAAACAGTATGGAAGGGTCTCAGAAAATTAAAAATAGAACTGCCAGCAATTCCACTTCTGGGTATATATAGATAGGAAACAAAATTACCATCCCAAAGAGATATCAGCACCCCTGTGTTCACTACAGTATTACCTACAATAGCCAAGATATGCAAAACAACCAAAGTGTCCACTGATAGAGGAATGGATAAAGAAAATTTGGTACATGCAAGCGCACACACAGACACCGGAATACTATTCAGATATAAAAAAGTAAGAAATCCTGCCATTGTGACAACATGGATGGACTCTGAGGGAATTACGCTAAGTGAAATAAGTCAGAGTAAGACAAATACTTACTTATATGTGGAATTAAGAAAACTAAAATCGGGGCGCCTGGGTGGCTCAGTCGTTAAGCATCTGCCTTCGGCTCAGGTCATGGTCCCAGGGTCCTGGGATCGAGCCCCGCATCAGGCTCCCTGCTCAGAGGGAAGCATGCTTCTCCCTCTCCCTCTCCCCCTGTTTGTGTTCCCTCTCTCACTGTCTCTGTCTCTGTCAAATAAATAAATAAAATCTTTTTTAAAAAATTTAATTAATGAATTAATTAATTAAAATCATACAAACAGATCAGATTAGTGGTTGCCAGAGGTGAGGGAATACTGGGTGAAGATAATCAAAAGATACAAATTTCCAATTATAAGATAAATAATTTCTGGGGATATAATGTACAACATGATGAGAATAAGTAACAATACTGTTGTGTACTTGAAAGTTGCTCCAGAGTAGATCATAAAAGTTCTCATCATAAGGAAAAAGCTATTTGTACCTATGTGAGATAATGGATGTTAACTAAACTTACTGTGGTCATCATTTTGCAATACACATAAATCAAATCATTATGTTGTATACCTTAGGCTTATACAATGTTTTGGGGTGTTTTTTTTAAAGATTTATTTTTTATTTGACAGAGAGAGAAAGAGAGCACACAAGTCCAGGGAGCGGCAGGCAGAGGAGAGAGAGAAGCAGGCTCCCCGCCAAGCAGGGAGCCCGATCCCAGGACCCTGGGATTATGACCCGAGCCTAAGGCAGATGCCTAATGACTGAGCCACCCAGGCGTCCCTAGATTTATACGATGTTATATGTCAGTTATTATCTCAATAAAATTGGGGAAAAATAAATGCCAATAACTATCAAATTCCTACTGTGATGTGACATTTAGTCACAAATTTACACTATGCTTACTTCTTATCAGAATAAAAAAAAAAGATGCCTTACTTTTTCAGGAAAATTATGAACAAGTTGGTATTTTAAAAAATAAAATTCAGGACTTCCTCCCTTAGGAAATTCATCCCATTTAATAAAAACTGCTGTTGTTCGATTATTCCTTGGCATATAACAGAAACTTTTTGAGATCTGAAATGGGAAAGAAAAGTAACTGTAAAAATATAATAAAAATGCATTCTTGGTTATTATTACTATTTTATTAGCAAACAACAAAAATTAAGCCTAAAATAGGTCAAATTATAATTGAAAGTATTTCAGCAATATCAACTTCTACACATGAATTAGGTAACATCCATTGGATAACTTTGTTACCATAATTTTGAAAACGACTTAAGAAAGATAAGTAAAAATGAGAGCAAGGAAATTCAAGATCCATGCTTCTCAAAGTGGGAAACACCACATTCCTGGGGTCAGGGAGAAAGAAGAGACTCAAATCACAGGAAAATCAAAGCACACCCTCCTGGTGTGTCAACTGTGTACTTTGATGATAATGGCTACAGGATTAAATTATTTCACAGACATTCTT